TCTCTCTCTCTCTCTCTCTCTCTCTCTCTCTCTCTCTCTCTCTCTCTCTCTGTATATTATAATTTAACTCGCTTGGTCACTTGCGTTCAGTCACGGCTTCCATCGCCTTTCTTAGGTTGATTGCACACAACCCCTCGTTTGTGCTCAGAAATAGGAAAAATAATAAAATCGGAAGCGGAAGTTTTCCTTGACTTCCGCCGTGCCGTGTCTCTCATTCGATAGCGAAACCAGATACAGTTGCGAACGTGTCTGTGCCTTGTTGATCTGGATTTAGAACCTAAGGTAATGATCAGAATGCTGTGGTAGTTTTCTTTGTAGCTAAAAGCTGGGCAGTGTAGGCTTGTGTAGATCTAGATGTTGTATCGTGTAGAACCAAACACAGACTCTAGATCTAGGCCTAGGCTTGCCTCTACTTCTTAGCTCTTAGTCCCTAATACTCCGACCTAACTTATTATAACTAACTAATGACCACTGGCACTGCATGCAGTGTTCAGGGGTAGTACTGGCCTTTGTAGAGCTAAATCTAGGGTTGTTTAGTGTTCGATGGGAATAGCACACGGTGAGCCTAACCCTAATTTACTAATACTAGAAGATCTAGAATCTAGATCTAGATTCTAATGCTAATAATAAAACTAATGAGCTTCCTATTGCTAGAATCTTGTACCAAGTATTGGCATTCACTAATTAATGACTAGATCAAGATCTAATGGCAATGCTAGATCCTTCTGAGCTGGGCACTTTGTAGAGCTAGATTAAGATCTAGATCTAGATCTAGATTTTCTAGATCTAGAAATCTAGGGTTGTTTAGAAAAGATTGGAAATATCACTCGGTGAGCCAAACGCTTAGTCAACCAAGTGAGTTTCCTATTATTATATTATTACTAACTAATGGCAATGCTTAATGCTAGGACTTGGCTTTGTACAGCTAGATCTAGGGTTGTTTAGTGGTTGATTGGAAATGTCACACGGTGAGCCGAACGGTTTTAACTAATTAAAATTTGGGGGCTCGGGTGGCTAAGTGAGTAGGCCCAGATCTAGATCTAGTGAGTTTAGACTCAACAGTAATGTTAAGCAAATGTCGGTGTTTGACACCGTTAACCAAACTGCCCCTCTGGGATCCATAAAATTGCAATTTATAAATTTATCTCTTTAATGGTTCACTTTGAAGTCTGTATTCCATGAGTAAGAAACGCGAGTGATTCTTGAATTAAAAAGTGGAGGCCTCGAACCGTCATTTCATTTTGGGAAATTTTCTGCAGCTCGTCCGACACAAAAGCATAGGCCTAGATTTTTTGGCGAATAACTTTCGATCCCATTTACTTTTAGCCTCGGTTCTCTAAACGTCATTCTTCATGAGGAGTGGTCCCGGCTTAACTCCTAAGAAATAACACTCAGAGTTTGAAGTCGGAAACAAAAATGGAGGTCGAGAAAAAAGCTGTCTTCAGTACTTTTTTGGGGGGGTTCGATTTTCGAATATTTTCTACCTTATTTTTTTTTCTTCATCGGGTGGCATTTTCATCCTGGCAACTCAAGCCAGCTTTTTTAATCGGCCTCCGTTTGTGTTTCCGATTGCAAGTGTTATTTCTATGGTATTAGGCCGGGACCACTAATTCTCCCGAAGAGTGCCCTCTAAACGCGTGACAACCCCGTTTTGTCTTTTCGAGCAATAGTTTTTCCAACGTTACAGATTGGTGTGGAAGGGCACTTTTCTTGGGAGGCCGGAATAAAATATTGCTCGATATGAGTCAGGCGGAACTATTTTCTTACGGATATTGATGTAAATGGGACAAACTGATACAAGACCGGGAACGGTACCTCGATAACAATCGGTTCCATCTGTCCCAAGTCATCCGTTAAAAAAGCGTGTCTTTTCATTGGACGAGCTACAGCACGGGCCAAAATAGTTTTTGGTGCGGACGGACATCCCCGCACGGAACCTCAATTTGTAAACCGACTGCGTCACTGTCGTTCTATAGGTATTAATTTTAAATAACGTTTCCAAGCCCTCTGACCTCGTAACCGTAACAATTTTGGTCACGTCCGTTTTTCCCCTTCTCTTTCCCCAGATCTCGGAATCTTCGCGGACGCATTATCATGTCTGGAGAGGAACAGCCCCAGCCGTTTGCCAGCGACGAGGAGATGGTGAGTTGTCACGCATCCACAAACCCACACACACAAACACACACACACACACACACACACACAAACACACACACACACACACACCAACCTAGACACACCAACCCAGACACACCAACCCAGACACACAACCACACCCACACACCCACACAAACACTAAACATTAAAACAACTTTTTAGAAATATGATGATATAACATTTCCAGGTGAGAATTTTGACAGAGCTGTTTTTTGACACGGTATACTGATGTAAATGGGACAAATTGATAAAAGACCAAATGCGGTAGCTCGCTAGAAATCGGTGTCGCCAGTTAAAAGTCATCTTTAAAAAAGCCGTCCCTTTGTCGGACTAGCTGTAGCATGTTTAAAAATATTTTTGATTCGGACCGACACTTTCACTGGGTGGCTCATTTTTAAAACAACCGTGTCATTGTGTCATTCTCGCTCTGTGGGTATTTCTAAATAGTGTTTCCGAGCCCTCTGACTTCGTAACCGGAACAATTTGGGTCAGGTCCGTTTTTCCCTTTCTCTTTCCCCAGAACTCGGAGTCTTCGCGGGCACCAGACGGAGCCAGGCATATCTTGCCCATAATCATAGAGGAGCCAGAGCCTATTTCTAGTGACGAGGAGATGGTGAGTTTTGAGGGGGATTCCGGGGACGGGGAGGAGGATAGTGGGGATTTTGAGGAGGATAGTGGGGATTTTGAGGAGGATAGTGGGGATTTTGAGGAGGATAGTGGGGATTTTGAGGAGGATGAGAAATTTTTTTCTAGCGACGATAGTGATTTTGGGGAGCGGGCTGAGGACGAGGTAGACTTGGACCAAATTTACAGAGTGTTGTTCGTGGATACGGACGACGAGGTGGAAGATGACAGCGGGTTGTTTGAGAGTTAATTATAGAACTCTTTACCGACAGGAGAAACAACGGAGCAGGTAGGTGGGGGAGTGGGGTGGGGAAGTCTGTTTGTTTTAATTGATTGAGTTTATATGTGTGTAAAATTGATATTATTATTATTACCATTACTAGTATTTTTTTTTTTTTTTAAATTTATGTGTAAAAAAATCTTTTTAGGAGGCGAGTTTGACATCTCAGTAAAATTCTTAGTTTTTAAAAATTGTTTTTAAATTCTTTTAAAAATATATTATTTATATAATTTTTAATTTTTTTTGTTTGACATGTCTGTAAAATAAATGATGATTATGATGATAATTATTATTGTTGCTATTGTTGTTATTTTTATAACCTACTTTTTATAATTTTTAGTTTAAGGAATGAATGAATAAATTTTGTAATGCTTTGGCATGTCTGTAAAATTATCATTTTTTACAATAATAAGTTTTATTTCAGAAGACATTTTTCTAAATTTCCTTTTTTTTCTTCCCCTCTGTGCATTGTTTTTTCTCTCTTCCCGAAGAGTTTCCTCGACGTGACCCTGAGCCTGGCTTCTAAGGGAACGACAAAGTATTCCAATATGGGAAATGAGACTAGTTGATGCATGTGTGTGTAGTTTGTGTCTTTGTTCTTATTTAGCTTGATAAGACGCCTCAGTTGATGCTTTTGACGTTAAAGAGCGGGCCAGTCTCCGTAGGATTTAATAGTCCCTTCAGCTTCCTGCTTCCGTATCTGTGGCCAGTCCAGTTTGTCCGTGTGTCTCATGCGTGGTCTGTTCCTAGCTTGAGACTGAGGCAGCAGTACCTTTGTGAGTGTGAGGGGGTTGGGGGTAAGGTGTGAAGTAAAAAAGTTGATGAAGTTTGAAGAGAAGCGAGGGGGAGGGGGGGTGTAGATCATTTTTTCGCTAAGCTGCACTTTTGAGTAATCACTGTATTTTAAAGAATCCGTTTTGATGCAAGTGTAATAGGTAACAGCTTTTTGGGGGCATGAGCTGTTTCCATCTTTCAACCAGTTTGGGGAACTCTTTCTGAGGGGTTAGGGGTTAGTGGGGAACTGACCCCTGACCCCTCATTACGTAAGATGTCAGTTTCGGCTGTTGGGGGGGGGGGGGGTTGGGGGAAGTGCAGGGGGTGATAAAATTATGTGGGGTGACAGGTGTCCGCGGGGAACTGGAACTGGCCCACGTCACCGGTTATGGGAAAATAGCAAGTTCTTTAACGGCGTCAGCAGGTATCGGGTACGGGACCAAATTGTAGGGAACGTTTTTGTTATCGCTTATTTGTTTTGTCTTCCACAGCTCACAGACTTCCCCTCCCCACTCCCCCCCCTTGCGGAAGTCGGAAGTACCGGGCCTCACCGTGGCGCAAGGGTGTAACGCTCTGTTCAAACCAGAAGGGTGGCCGGGAAAACGATGGTTCGGGCAACGGCCCACTTTCTGGTTGGAACCGAGCGGCCAACACGGTACTACGCAGAGCATAGAAAATGTGAAATGTACATCCCGGCGGCCGCCGCACTGCTTTGGCAATGTGTTGTAAACTATGAGAAACCGGCAGTATGGAAATAAAAGTTCAAATCGGTAGCAAAATGTGTTTGTTCTCTTTGTTTTCAAATCAGTCCTCCCGTTTGTCATGTACTCTATGTTTTAAAAATCAGTCTTCCCTGTCTGTCCTATCCTCTATGTTTTCAATTCAGTCTTTCCTGTCTGTCTTGTTTTTTTATGTTTTCCAATCAGTCTTCCCTGTCTGTTAAATCACTACAATCAGTTTGGATAATTAGCCGGGCCTGGGCGGTTACGGTGCACCTGTTGTGTAAATACAGACGATGGACACTTGGACACGAATTACATAATGTGCTGTTTTGCCTGTGACGGCGTTCCAGCTGACAGGCGGTCGTAGGCCCCCTACTCGATGAACAAAAAATACCCCTACCCACACAGGAATCGAACTCTGTCTTTTGCAAGCCACGGTAGGATGAAACAAAAAGTTTTGAAAAAGATGGGGACAGAACATTTCCGGACGAGAGTTGGGTCACAGCTGTTTTCTCTCTCTCTCTCAATCTCTCTCTCTCTCTCTCTCTTTCTCTCTCTCTCTCTTTCTCTCTCTCTTATTCTTCTTCTCTCTCTCTTCTCATATACACACACACACACACACACACACACACACACACACACACACACACAGTTTTCAGTTCCCCTCGACATAGAAAAAGAAATTAGCTTCTTTTGGTGAAACCAGGGAATAGAATATTTCCTTATGATAGTTGGACTGGAGACTTATAGGTACACTGGTGTGACAAATTCTAGATAAAAGACAAAGGGCTCTCTCTCTCCCTCTCTCTCTCTCTCTCTCTCTCTCTCTCTCTCTCTCTCTCTCTCTCTCTCTCTCTCTCTCTCTCTCTCTCTCTGTGGGTCTCTCTCAATTTCCATCTAACATTTCTTCTCTCTCACTCTTTCTCTCTCTCTCTCTTCTCTCTCTCTCTCTTTCTCTCTCAAAATTTTGCTCTCATCCTCTCTTTCTCTTTCTCTTCTACCCTCTCTCATTCTCTCTCTCTCTCTCTCTCTATCTTTCTCTTTTTCTTCTGCCCCCCCCTCTCTCTCCTTCTATCTCTCTTTCTCTCTCTCTCTCTCTCTCTCTCTCTCTCTCTCTCTCATTCTCTTATTTCTTCTCTCTTATTTCCTCGCTCTCTCTGTCTCTGTCTCTCTCTTTCTCTCTCTTTCTCTCTCTTTCTCTCTCTTTCTCTCTCTCTCTCTCTCTCTCTCTCTCTCTCTCTCTCTCTCTCTCTCTCTCCCTCTCTCTCTCTCTCTCTCTCTCTCTCTCTCTCATTTTTTTGCTAAATCGAAACTGGATTTTTCTGGGGAACGTGTTGTAGATCTGGCCCTTGATCTTCATTCAGAACATAAAGGTAATGATTTGATAGCTGTGACATTTTATCATAGGTGAATTCTGGTCAGTTTAATATAGCTCTAGATCTAGATATTGTATCGTATAGAACCTAACAAGACTCACCGAGTCTCCTAAAGGAGAGAGACTAGATGTGGATCTAGATATTTAGACTTAGGCCTAGGCCTAAACTTGCCTCTCCTTCTAGTTCTTAGTCTAGATCTAGATCTAGAAAGGCATTCCCTAATTTTTTATAACTTACTAATGACTAACTAGAACGGCTGTGTTAGCTGGACACTGCATGCAGTGTACAGAGATAGGACTGGCCTTTGTAGATCTAGATCTAGGGTGGTTTAGTGTTTGATTGGAACAGCACATTTTGAGCCTAACCCTAATACTAATACTAATTTAGTACAACAAGTAAGCTTCCTATTACCGAGTAATGGTATTCACTGGCTAGTAGTGCTAGATCTAAATCTAGATCTAGGCGAATAATCCATATGTACCTGTGCATTTCACTATGGGGGTAAAATAATTGCAACAAAGATGATTTTGGTGTCGTTACAACCAGAAAACCTTCCTCTATAACATACTGAAAGTCAGCATGCATCTTAAAGAAAGAAATTTTGTTAAAAATGACGTTTAATTGTATAGTATCGAAATCGTCAAATATCGAAACCCAACTATTTCAGAATCGTACGTCATATCTCACAAAACAAAAATCTTACACCACTGCACGGGGCTCTGTCCTCTAAAACTCAGGTTTCTTATCCTAAATGGGGGACTTTGAATTCTAAACTCTCAAAATTTTAACGGGGAGCTAAAAAAGTTAGAGTAGTAATGTACATTGAGTAATCGATACTAGTAGCCACGTGGACAAGATTTTTACAAATGAGAGATGAGAAAAAGTGAGGGTCGTGGTGAAGAAGAAGAAGAAGAAGAAGAAGAAGAAGAAGAAGAAGAAGAAGAAGAAGAGAGTAAATCTACAATCAGACAAACATGTTGGTGCACGAAAAAGAACATAAAAAAAAGACGAGGTGTAAAAATCGGCGCTTCACGGTGTGTCCCGGAGGTCTGCGCTCATAGATAAAGGCGCACTGTGTGCGTATTTTGTTTCAGTCGTCAACATCGTTTGAAAGTGAAATACACATTAAGTCTCCCCATACCCCCTACCCCCCCC